ACCTTTCCCAGGTTAGGGAGATTCTGAATTTCCCTAGGTTAGCATCTTCTGCATGTATTGGACTTTAGTTCCCATTCTGTCTCTGCCTGCCTGGATGAGAATTATTGGTATGCAACACCAACTTTGGAGGGTCCCATACAAGGAGAGAGCTTTAGGCCTGCAATGGAGCAATAGAGATAGACATCATCTCCCCAGTTATTTCTTTGCCGCTTCAGTTCTTCTGTACTATGGAGATGTGGTGAGATGATTTCTTGAAGTCATCTGCATCCTCTAGCATTCCCAAAGACCCTTGAAGGCAGAATAGACCATCTTCAGAATAGCCAGCCTATTTCCCAAAGCACCAGAGGGCAGGACAAGAAGCAATGGGTGGAAACTAATCAAGGAGGGAAGCATCCTGGAACTAAGGAGATCTTTCCAGTTAGAACAATTAACCAGAAATGGTTGGTGCTCCACCACTGGAGGCTTTCAAGAAGAGACTAGACAACCACTTATCTAAAATAGCATAGGTTCTCCTGCTTGAGCAGGGGGCTGGACTAGAAGACCTCTAAGGTTCTATTCTATTCTATTCTATTCTATTCTATTCTATTCTGTTCTGTTCTGTTCTGTTCTGTTCTGTTCTGTTCTATTCTATTCTATTCTATTCTATTCTATTCTATTCTATTCTATTCTATTCTATTCTATTATTTCTATAGATATTTCTATTTCTATAGATATTTCTATTTCTATTTCTATAGATATTTTGCCAGAAATAGAATATCATAGAATAACAGAATTGGAAGGGACCTTGGAGGTCTTCTAGTCCAACCCCTTGCTTAGACAGGTAACTCTATACCATTTCAGACAAATGGTCATCCAATCTCTTCTTAAAAACTTCCAGTGTTGGAAAATTCACAACTTTGGTGGCAAGTTGTTCCACTGGTTAATTCTTCTGTCAGGAAATTTCTTCTTAGTTCTAGGTTGCTTCACTCCTTGATTATTTTCCACCCATTGCTTCTTGTCCTGCCCTCATGTGCTTTGGAAAATTGACCCCCTTTCTTCTTTGGGGCAGCCCCTCAAATATTGGAAGATTGCTGTCACACTAGACATACCCAATTCCAGCAACCGTCCTTTGTATGTTTTTGCCTCCAGTCCCTTAATCATCTTTGTTGCTCTTCTGTGCACTCTTTCCAGAGTCTCAACATCTTTTTTACATTGTGACTACCAAAACTGAATGCAGTATTCCAAGTGTGGCCTTATCAAGGCCTTGTAAAGTGGTAGTAACACTTCACATGATCTTGATTCAATCCTTCTCTTTATGCAGCCTAGAACTCTGTTGGCTTTTTGGGCAGCTGCTGCACACAGCTGGTTCATATTTAAATGGTTTTCCACTAGGACTCCGAGATCCCTCTTCGAGTTCTTACTATTGAGCAAGGCACCACATATACTATACTGAGATTGGAAGCTCTTTTAGCCCAAACATCTCAAACCAGGATCAATCCTAGTGCCACCGTTGTGGAGAAAATAGGCAGCACCTTTTCCCTAATAGAAACATGTTCAGGGTGTAGCATCTCCACGTTGGGTTCATTACCCCAAAACTAAAGCAAGAAAGGAGAAAACAGAAGAGCATAAATATGGATGTGGGGCTCTGTTGGGTATGTCTTCTTTATGTCTCCTTTATGTCTTCAATAAAGGAGGATCTTTGTAGCTCAGGGTTGAAATTAGGAGTCCCTGGTGCTCTCTGACCTTGCTTGTTTTCTTGCAGGTAACATCATGATGATGTTATCTAGTTTGGGTAACATCCGCAAGAACATAACCAAACTCAGAGAGCACCAAGGATGCCATAGTTCTCCTCCTCCTGCCCCTCCCCTCCCCCTCCCCTCCCCCATTCTAGTATGATGATGTTTCCTAGTTTGGGTAATGAAATATCTGCAAGAAAACCAGAAGCTCAGAGAGCACCGAGAGCCCCTCGTGTCTTAATTATTTTTGTTTTTCTCTGTTCGTAGTGACTGGATCCCATCTTTGTTTGAGAAAAACGATAAATTAATTTTATTTGTTTGGAGCTTGGTTACTCAACAGTGAGAGACCGGTGTAGCAGGCACAGCAGTGCCTTCATTTTCTGCAGGACAAGAAAAAAGTACATTTTCCTTCTCCTGTCCTTACCATTTTCTCTCGTGGGACAATCGAGAACATGATTGTCTGATCTGGAAGCGTTACTACATCCCCTTCAGAGAGTGGTGAGGACAGCAGAAAAGATTAGTGGCAGTTCACTTCCTTCTATCCAGGATGTGGCAAATAAGCGATGCTTGAGCAGGGTCCAAATGATTGTTTGGGACACTACACATCCTCTCCATCACCTGGTTTCCTTGTAACCTTCTGGGAGGGGGCTTTGTGACATCCGAAGCAGAACCTCCAGATCCAGTCACAGTTTTGTTCCTTTTATAACATCAACCTTGTGAACTCTCAAGTCACCTCTCTCCACTCTGTATTCAAACATGGGCAGTGATTCACATTCAGTGGAAAAAGTTGCCTCATCTTGCAAATGGGCTATCAGAAGCTGCTTCATCCTAATTAAAAATTTTATTTATTTTATTTATTTGTCCAACATGTAGAAGATAACAAGTATAGGCATGAGCATAAACATGAACAAAGGAAGTAAATACAGAAAAATACAGAAAATACAGAAAAATGGGGACATTAGGACAGGGACGGTAGGCACATTGATGCGCTTATGCATGCCCCCTTACAGACCTCTTGGGAAAGGGGTGAGGTCAACAGTAGACAGTCTGAGGTTAAAGTTTTTGGGGGTTTGGGGAAGAGACCACAGAGTCAGGTAGAGGATTCCAGACATTGACCACTCTCAAAAACGCTGAAGTTGTTTTTCCTGCAATCGAGTTTGGTGCAGTTTACCTTGAGTTTGTATTGATTGTTTGCCCGTGTTTTATTGTGATTGAAGCTGAAGAAGTCATTGACAGGCAAGGTGTTATAAGCAGACAATTTTGTGTACTATGCTTAGATCGGACCCGCAGTTCTAGATTGTCCAATTTGGGTCCCCAGGTTCTGAATTCCTGCGGTTCCACTCACGTGGTGATTTCTGGATGTATTTAGGGTGAAACCAATGAAAATTCAGGAAAACAAAGAGATGTTTTGTCCAAGATATGCATCTTTTATTCCAATTGTTTTACCCATCATCTAGCTCCACTTATTGCCCCACACAGTTTTCTCCTTGTAATTATAATATTAAAAACTAGTATTTTGGAATAATGGGATTCTTCTTGTCACATATCCTTGACTGGTCCCTAAACAGCTGATGGCCATGCAATAATTTTTGTTTGACATTTTACAAAATCTGGAGGAAACCACAGAGAGGTGGAAGTCAAGGAGACATTGAAGAGGGAAAAGATCCTTCTGGAAATACCTTGAGTAGCATATCATAGGCAGGTAGGAGAAAGTGCTCCAGATCTTTTTCCCCTCTTTCCACTTTAACTAATTAAATCAAAATGAGAACATAGGAAGGTATGGGCAGGAGAGTCCCAAATGTCATCGAACCAATCAACTGTATTGGAATTTGCAATCACACAACCCTTCAGTCTGAAATAATTGTTGCTAGTCTACTGAAAAGGACATGCAGAGAGACTAGGAAAGAGACCAAAGTTTTCCCTTTAGTGCTTTCCAAGAAATGCATCATCTTTCTCCTGAATGCTCAGAAGTTTTTGCAGGGCCCCTTTGACCTCCTTGTTTCTAAAGCTGTAGATTAGAGGGTTCAGCATGGGGGGGACAATACAATATAACATGGAGATCAGGGTGTCCACCCCCAAGGAGTAGCCTGCACTTGGACGGTTGTAATTCAAGTTGATCATCCCAAAGTAGACAATGACGGTAATCAAGTGGGCAGCGCAGGTGGAGAAGGTCTTTCTCCTTCCAGTGCTGGAACGGATCTTCAGAATTGTAGATAGGATGTAGACATAGGAAATGACAACAAGGAGGAAAGGGCTCAGACCCACAAAGACACTTGCTATGTGAAGAGCCATCTCATTGGTGTAGGTGTCACTGCAAGCAATTTTCAGGAGTGGTGGAACATCACAGAAGATGTGATGGATCTTGTTGGCTGCACAAAAGGCCAAATCAGTGGCCAGGGCAGTGTGAATGGCAGAGTCAATCATGCCCCAGACCCACGAAGCCATAGCCAGAGGGACTCGGACCTTCCTACCCATGAGTTGCGTATAGTGCAAAGGTTCACAGATCGCCGCATAGCGGTCATAGGCCATCACAGCCAGTAGTGCAGATTCAGTTCCCGCAAAGCTCATGAGGAAGAACATCTGGGCCATGCACTCGTTGTAGGAGATGGTGGGCTGTTGGCGCAGGAGGTTCACCAGGATGGTGGGGAGGGTGACCGAGGAATAGCAAATGTCCAAGCAGGACAAATGGCTGAGGAAATAGTACATGGGACTGTGGAGGCGTGAATCCAGCTGGATCAAGATGAATATCATTGAGTTGGCCACCAAGGTGATGAGGTAGATGGCCAGAAACAGCAGAAAGAAGAAAGGTTGACCTCTGGGCATGCCAGAGAAACCCAGGAACAAAAATTCAATCACCTGCAGGGTCTGATTGACACCTTCCATGAGGTCCCTCAAGCTTTGGTGGACAAGGTTGGAATGCAGCAGAATTGAGAAGTAGCGGCAGCTTTCAAATCACAGCATGAAGAAGAAGCTAAGACGAAAATACATACCTGGTTGTAAAAAATGATAAAACAGCATATAGACATGAAACCAGAAATACTCCTATTGGGCATTCTATCAGAAAAATATGATAAAGAGTCTATGTACTTGATTTTACAGGTACTAACTGCAGCTAGAATTGTTTATTCTCAACATATACAACTGGTGCCTTGGAAAATAGCCCGACCCCTCCCTCCTCTCTGGGGCAGCCCCTCAAGTATTGGAAGACTGCTATCCTGTCTCCCCTGGTCTTTCTCTTCCCTAGATTAGCTAGACCCAGTTCCCGCAACCATTCTTCATAGGTTTTAGTTTCTAAGATGAAAGCCTTTCCAATTTTTCCCCCAAGGCATGATTAAAAAAGGGGGACGAGCTTCTTCTTACAAAAAACATGCAATTTATGCACCTTCCAGACAACGGTTGGTGTTGAGGAGGTGCATCTGAAATGGTTAGTGCCTTAATCTCCCTCCCTCCCTCCCCCCTCCACACACTCTAGGTGGATCTGCAGTCCCTTTGCCCCCTAAGTTGCTCACCTGGATGAAGCTAGAAGGTATAGCTTCTTTTTTCCTTCCCTACTCCACTGTAGACCTTTCTGCCTTGAGGAGGGTCTCACTTCCTTTCTCAGCCTCTTTCAGGCATTGGAGATGCCATATCTTCCCTGCGTTCATCCTGTGTCACAGATGTTGATGAAAGAAGCAACACAATTTTTATGGTGCCTGACATGTCCCTGGAGTTGGCTTGCATCACAAAGGAGGAAAAGCAAAGCATCTACGTGCTTCTCACTTGGGAGTTGCTTTTGAAAGCTTTGGGACTTTGGGATAAAGTCTGGAAGCTAAGAACTTAGACCCCAAACATGGCAACTTGGCAACTTTAAGACTTGTGAACTTGGGAGTTGAAGTCCACAAGTCTTAAAGTTGCCAAGTTTGGGGACCAAGTTTTCTTTGTATGCTGTCGATAATGTTAATTTATAATTCCTGTCCCATAGCTCACCGGAAGCTTTCAAGAAGAGACTGGATTGTCATTTGTCAGAAATGGTGTAGGGGCTCCTCCTTGGGCAGGGGGTTGGACTAGATGACCTACAAGGTCCCTTCCAACTCTGTTAATCTGTTAAATCTGATTATTTTGCTGAAGAGACTTAGCAGCCAAAGCTCTTGGTTTCCATGGAGCAGTGTAGCTCTGCAGATGGGTATGTCTGCTCTATAATTTGTGTCACGGTACAGCTGGAGCTTCTGAGAAGGACGTGGCCAGAAGGTTTCTTGAGTCAACTACACTCTGTGATTTTTACATTATAATGAGTTTTCAAGTTATTAAAGTTCAATTCTTTAGGAAATTCTTGGCGAGTTTGAACCGGTCCTTATCCAAATTTCACATTCTTGTTCTTACTTCAAAGAACAAGAAACATGAATGAAATATGCTTTTTGTTACTGAAAACATTACTCAAAGGGGCCCCTCTTCTCCTGCTCCCATCACCAGCATGATAGGAATTGACTGGCTATGGTTACTGTTTGACTGGGATGATGGAAGGTCTCCTGCCTTTAGCTTTGGGTTGGACTGGTAGATCTCAAAGTCCCTTCCAGCCCTATGATTATATGAGATAGATTAGAAATAATAGATAGATGATAGGTAGGTAGGTAGGTAGGTAGCAGAGGTGGGTATTCAGCAGGTTCTGACCAGTTCTGGAGAACCAGTAGTGGAAATGTTGAGTAGTTTGGAGAACCAGCAAATCCCACCTCTGACTGGAGATTTTACAGTATCCTTCCCCTGCCAGGCCCACCAAACAATGCCCACAGAACCGGTAGTAAAAAAATTTGAATCCCACCAGTGGGTAGGTAGGTAGGTAGGTAGGTAGGTAGGTAGGTAGGTAGATAGATAGATAGATAGATAGATAGATAGATAGATAGATAGATAGATGGATGAGATATACAGTATATGAGAGAGAGAAAGATAGATAGATAGATAGATAGATAGATAGATGAGATATACAGTATATGATAGATAGATAGATAGATAGATAGATAGATAGATAGATAGATAGATAGATAGATAGGTGGATTGATGGATGGATGGATGGATGGATCAGCCTTTCATCCTGGAGTTGTGGATACTCCCATCACTGGTGGTTTTCAATAAATGTTTAGACAACTCTTTGTCCAGAATGGTATAGGGTCTCTTGCCTTGAGCAGAGGTTGGACTAGAAGATCTTTCTTTCTAGCCCTCTTTCTAGTCCTTACTAGTACCATGATTTTATGTTGTACATAAACCAGATGTACCCAGGAGTGAGGAACCATTTGTTTTCCGTTATGGAAATGTCAACAATTGCAAGCTCTTATCTTCTCAATGATGTACAACACAATTATTCTGCTGCCTATCAAGGATGTGTGACCAGAGGATTAGGGTTAGAACATAGAATAACATAGTTGAATGGGACCTTGTAGGTCTTCTAATCCAACCACCTGATCAAGCAGGAGACCCTACACAATTTCAGATAAGTTGCTGTCCAGTCTCTTCTTTAAAAACTCCAGTTATGAAGCACCCACAACTTCTGAAGGCAAGTCCTTCTGAGCGTCAGGAATTTTTTTTTCTTTAATTCTTAATTGCTTCTCTCCTTGATTAATTTCCATTCGTTATTTCTTGTCTTGCCTTCTGATAATTTGGAAAAGAGGTTGATCCTCTCTTCTATTTGGCAGCCTGTCAAATACTGGAATTCTGCGATCATATCCCCCTTAGTCCTTCTTTTCACTGGACTAGACATACCCAATTCTTCATAAGTTTTAGCCTCCAGCCCCCTAACCATTGTTGTTGCTGTTCTCTGTACTCTTCCTGGCATTCAACACCTTTCTGATATTCAACACCTGGCATTCAACACCTTTTTGATATTGTGGTGACCAAAACTGGATTCAGTATTCCAGGTGTTACCAAGGCTTTATAAAGCAGTACTAAGACTTCACGTGATTTTGAATCTATGCCTCTGTTTATCCAACCAAGGATTGGATTGGCTTTTTTGGCTGCTGCTGCACATGGCTGGCTCATGTTTAAGTGATTTCCCACGAGGACTCCAAGGTCCCTCTCACAGTTACTGGTACCGAGTCAACTTTCATCCAGTCTGTACTTTTCTTGCCTAAGTGTAAAATCTTTTATCCACATTGAATTTTATTTTTCTTAGAGAGGGCCCAGTGTTCAGGTCTGTAAAGATCCTTTTGGATCCTGAACTTGTCTTGAGGGGTTTTGCCTATTCCTGCCAGCTTGGTGTCATCTGCACATTTGATGAGTTCCTCATCTGTCCCCTCATTTAAATCATTTATGAAGATGTTGAAGAGTCCTGGGCCTAAAACTACTTACTTCCCTCCGTGTTGATGTAGTTCTGCTGAGAATTCCACATTGAGTATGGTATGTCAGCCAGTTACAAATCCATCTGGTGGTGATGCTGTCTATCCCACATTTTTCTAGCTTCCCAAGCAGTAGGTTGTGGTCTACTCTGTCAAAAGCCTTGCTGAAATCTACATATATTATGTCCACAGCATTTAGCTGGTCCATTAATGTAGTAACTTGCTCCAAGAATGAAATAAGAATTGTTTGGCATGATTTGTTTTTGAAGAAGCCATGTTGGCTTTGGGTTATGACTTTGTTTGCATCTAGGTGTTTAAAGATTTGTTGACTGATCATCTTTTCTAAGATGTTCCCAGGTATTGTGGGTTGGTTTCATTACCAACTAGGTGACATCTTCAGTGGACTCTAGGGGAAGTCAGTGTTAGTGTTCTTCTACTTATAAGGCCTTCGTGTGACCAGTAGGTCTTGTGATGGGAAGGTCACATCAGGTGAGGGTCTTGTGATGGGTTAGGTGTGGGTCATGCTGAAGATGTTACTTAGCCTGGTAACAAAACGTTTGGAATTCAACCCATAAGCTCAGAGAATGAACCTCCACCTTCATCCTACACCCGAGCTCCAGATATTCCACACTATCACAAAGAAACAATGAAGGGTGTCCATCTCCAATTTCTTCACTACCTTTGTCTTACTTGCCAAGTGACACAACAGTCTACAATCCTGCCTGAGGTAGGGAAGTGGAAAAGGGTTGCCTCATCTTGCAAATGGGCTATCAGAAGCTGCTTCTTCCTAATTAATTTTTTTATTTTTTTAAATTTATTTATTTGTCCAACATGTACAAGATAACAAGTATAGGCATGGACATAAACAGGAACGAAGGAAGTAAATAGAGGTAAATAGGGACAGTAGGACAGGGACGGTGGACATGCTGGTGCGCTTATGCAGGCCCCTAAGAACCTCTTAGGAGTGGGGTGAGGTCCACAGTAGACAGGTTGAGGCTGTTGAAGCTGTGAGGGGTTTGAGGTTGTAACCATGGAGTCAGGTAGTACATTCCAGGCATTGACTACTCTGGGGCTGAAGTCGTATTTTCTGCAATTGAGTTTGGAGCGGTTTACCTTGAGTTTGTATTGATTGTTTGCTTGTGTTTTATTGTGGTTGAAGCTGAAGATGTTGTTGACAGGCAAGAAGTTGTTCTAGCAGATAATTTTGTGAACAATGCTTAGATCGGACCACAGGTGGCGCAGTTCTAGATTGTCCAATTTGGGTCTCCAGATTCTGCACTCCTACTGTTCCACTCACATGGGAATTCTGGATGTATTTTAGGGTGAAATCAATGAAAATTCAGAAAAACAAACAGAGGTTTTGTCCAAGATACACATCTTTTATTCCAATTGTTCTGCTCATCATCTATCTCCACTCATTGCCCAACGCAGTCTTCTCCTTATAGTTATAATATTAAAATGTAGTATTTTTGAATAATGGGGTTCTATTGTGCCAAATCTTTGATTGGCTCCCAAAGAGCTGAGGGACAGTCAATAATTTTTGTTCATCATTTCACAAAATCTGAAGGAACCACAGGGAGG